CAGAGTTTTGGGGAAAGAAGAAAAGTGTGTACAAACCATTAAGACAGCCATAATGTGTAGGAACACGGATGCTAAAACCAGCTTGCTAAAATTAAGATCTTTAAGACTTTGCAATCTACTAATCTTTGAGTAGTTGCAGCCCATTTGTTGGGGGTTTTGATGGTTGTTTTTGTTTTGTTTTTTTTTTTAAGTGTACGTGCATTCTGGATGTGAATAATGAAAGAAGGGAACGAAAACAAGTCAAATATAGCTCAGAAATAAGAGTTCAGAAAAAATGTTTTGAAACATAAAAAGAAGAGTCCCGAGAGACAGCCGTGAAAGAAAGAATGATTTGAATGAAATCAGGCTGTGGTAAAAAGACACATTTTAATGTCCTACAGCCCCTCTCCATCTCCCTTCCTGTTAGACCTGACTCGCAGACTTGCCATATACTTTTCCAGGCTCATCTAAAAATATACAGGAGGCAGTGGAAGAGAAGAAGGAGAAGGATTTCTTAGAGGGAGAATTTTTTGTATCCCTCCATTTAAAGGAAGCAGCCGTGATCAGACAACGTTGCTGAACTAACCTGCTTCTCCCTGTGCTTGGCGTGAGGGCAGTAAGGTTAATTCTGTAGCGAGGGCAGCAAAGTCTTGCCCGTTAGTGAAGGGAGGGGGACGGACAGACCAACAAACACCGTTTCTTATCTGGCAGGGTCAGCCAGAAGCTGCAAAAAATATCAGCAGTATCCAAGTACAGGGGAAAAAAAGAAAGAGTAATTATGGTATTTTAAGCTATTTTCTATGGAAAATATAAATGCTAACATTTATTAATAACATGAACTAATGGTAACAGTGCTACCGGGTGAGATGCAATGGATGAAATGTGTCCCAAACCATGTGTCAAGGCCTACAAGACTCATAACCAGTAACTAATAAACTTTCCCTAAAGCAAAGGTGTTTGACCTGGAATTTGGGGCTGGACCTATAACTACCAGGAGGACCATGGAGGAGTGGAAGAAATAGTATGAAACTCAAAATGTTTTGGAAAGAACTGACTGATGACTGAAATGTTCTTCCTTCTGTTTGGAAGGAAAACACGACTCCTGCGGTTTTCTTGGAATGGGCTGCAGAAAACAATCTGGAGTGCCAAGTGCCTCTGTCCTAAGGCTAGAGACCAGGCCAATATGGCTGGGAGATTTTGTACAAACCTCATTAACAGAAACTAATCATTTTCTGGGTGTTGGGAACACCATTCAGCGCTGCCATGTTCTTGATTAAATGGGTTGGTTTAGTGGATCATTAAAATCTTCGTGGTGCTTCTTTGCAAAAGATGAAGTGTCATCTCCTGCAATCCCTGGCCAATTTCCAATTTCTCTATTTGCCTGCTAAGTTAATAAGCTGATGCCAGGTCTCAGTATTTTGTCATAAGTCTTGTGACTATATAAGCATTTAATCTACGCTATATTTAAAAACACTGTTGCATTAAAATGCTTGAAAACATGAAGCCTAATGAAGGAAGAAGGAAAGAAACCACGATCAATCTTTTTAACACGATTTTTTTGTGCTTTGAATTTCTTAATACCCTTGAATGGCCATTACTGATACTATCTCTTACATTTTAATGAATACAACACAGTTGTCTCAACAGCTCCTGTGATGAGATGCAGGAGCAGAGATGTCTCTCTGTAGTTAATTTTAGGCAAAATATAAAATAATAATAAAAAAATTCAAACACTTAAAAATTCATTGATGCTTTGAGGCAGAGATATTTATTTTCCCCCCTGTTCAGTTCAGATCAGTTAAACAGCCACACATGCCCATGCCACTTTAGGTGGTTTTAGAAGCCACTGGGCTTAAAACCACTACGCATGAACTCAAGAGATCACACAGGGGAAATGGGGTCACCTGAGCAGTCACCAAACACGCAGGCAGTTGCAGAACTCTGTAACAAATCAGCTAGGATCTTCTTTGCTTAGCCCAAAAAACATCCACCAAGTCCTGCAGGCTCCAAAGGCCACGCTGGCTGGCCGTAGGCTCAGCGATTGGGATCTCGCTGGCTCCGGCGACCTCCTTGCCTGGCTCCCGTCTGTTGTTTCTCAAGGTCAGGCTCAGAGTGGCTTTCTCTTGGATTGCTCCCAGATTTTTGCCCAGCCCCATGCTGGGGAAGCGGTGAAACCTGCTGGATCCATCCTGCTATCCTGCCGCAGGCGTCCCTCGAATTAGTGCTCCCCATTACGTTAAGGGGCTGGATGGAGTTTTACGTGGTGCATGAAAGGGGCCCTGCTCGCTGCTCCTCATCCCGGCGCTGTCTGGGGAACAGTCCTGCTGACGGCACTAATTAATATTTTTCACCAAAGTTTTGACACCAAGAGCCTACCGTTGCCACCAGCGGTGATGAAAGACATGTAACCAAATGACATCATCAGCACAGACTTGCTTGCCTAGCGCCCTTGGGGATGCTGCGTAGCAAGGCCGGCAGATTGCTCCCAGCACTGGCATGCCAGTGGAGGCAAACCAAGCCCTAAGACGAGCCTTCGACTCCTCCGTGGTGAAGCAAGGGACGTTTTAAAGAGAGTGATGTCACTGCTGATGGAGAGAACCCAAGGAAACACCACAGCATCAGTTGCACACGCAGTGGCTGTGTTTTTTACGTGGCAAGTATGAGAAAGGGGTACCGCAGGCATGGCAATAAACTTTTGAAAATAAATACTTCTAATAGCGATGCAGTAGTCGCAAGCTCAGCAGAAAAAGGTGTCTGGCTATGGCAGCAGGGCAACCCTGCCTTAGTCCTTAAAACAACCTGGAACAGCAATAAAGATTGCTGCTGTGAAAACACTGGTCACCTTTCACCGCTGCCTTTGAAAAGAAGTGCCGTTGTATTTTTACACAACTTTTTTACTTTTTGTCAAAAACTTCTGTCCCCTGAACTGAGAAAGTGACCTCTTCTGGGCAGACACCACACTCAGTTTAACCCTGAGCATTATATTCTTCCGTCAATCACTTCTTCTGCCACCAGAGCAATGATTTTCTACAATAACCTTGCACTTTAGTCAATCCATTCTCTGGGTTTCACCAGACAGCATTTTACCTTGGCAGTTTCTTGAGCCATCATGATGTATTTGGTATCCAGAGGAGGTTTTGTGCTTTGTGTTCCTTCGGCCCAGAGGCACTGAGTACCTGAAGTTCTGCGGAGCCCCCGTTCCCACACAAGGCTTGTGACAAACCCACCAGCTGAACAAAACATCCTTTGCCATTACCAGCATACCAGTGGACTGTAAATATTCATGAGTTATTGCCCTGGTTTTATAAATTATTTACATCATGGCTGTTTCACATAGCCTTACATACATACTTGTGTCCCTCCTAGCTCTATCCTACAACTAGCTATCCAAAAACCTCGGGTGGTTTTAGTCGAGGGGCTGTCAACGTTAAGCTCATGAAGGGGCACATTGATTCTGAAGCGCGGGCGTTTCCTCCAACACACGGTGCTCAGCCTGCCGACACCTGAAACGTGGGGCTATGGAGGAAAAGCCCGCTCAAAAGCAGTGACAGAAAGGACAAACTCATTTTGGTTCCCAGTTGCAGGGGAGTTGAGCTGGGACCCAGGCCTCCTGTGGGAGTGCTTCCGTGGCAGGGGTCTGGAGGGTGCTGCTCCCTCCCGCTCTGCCCCCCCCAAGCCACGGCTCCGGTGGAGAGCAAGGGGTGCTTTGGCCGGGGTGGCCACGTTGCTTTTTCATGCTGCCACCACCGTGATGAGCAGAGAGGCCTGAGCGTTAGCTGGAGGGCAGCTGGGGGATGGAGGGAGGCAGGGGAAAGGCTCGGGGTGCAGCTCCAAGTACTTTTTTCGGAAGGTGAAAGATGCCTGGGGCAATTGGGGGTGGTCGCCTGAAGCCACATTCAGGCTGGGGCTGGGGCCACTGCACGGCTCCCTCGCCGTACACACGCCTATACATCTATATACACATACGTATTCAATATACATATTTATATGCGATTACAATGTGTACAGTATATACGCTCTGCCTGTGTGTATATATATATTCATGTTTCAGCTGCAACCAGTCTGGAAACAATCCCTGAAGCTGGAAGCTGAGGCCCCGGTGCTTGCCAGGTTTCTCACAAGCAGGTTACAGAGAGAGCCCGGCACTCCCTTGCTTCACCCTCACCTCCTCCTAAATCCCGCCCGCGCTCCTCGCTGCACCCAGGCCCAGCCTCAGCAGGAGGCGAGGTGCCCGCAGCGGGCTCCTGGGTGCTGTGGGTCTCTGCTGCGAGGGAAGAGAGAGGTTTGTGTCCGTGGACGGGCACGGGTTTCATGGGCTTCAGCCAGGCTGTTCCCGGCATTTGCAGGGGAAGGAGCCGAGAGAAGCTGAATCCACTGAAGGGGAGCTTAAACCCGAATTAGGGAAAGGCAGAGTAAGTTTAGGCACCATGACATTAGTTATGATCTTGCTGAGCAAGGACTTCTAGTTTGTGAGTCTGGCTTTTGGGCCCTGAGTGCTTACTAGAAGCTAAGCCTGTCTATATGTAGAAGAAGAAATCTGAGTTATTTTTTAAAGCTGATCATTTAAAATGCATTGTGGTTTTCTGTGGACTTGGCAGGGGTGGAAGGGAGGGAGAAATCAAAAAAACCCCTGAACTAAGTCACCTTTGGTTGATTTGGATTCGCTTTTCCAGCAAGACAATCTCTCAGTTTCCATCTGCTGTTGCAGGCAGCTGACAAACTGCCTTTATATGTAGAGAAATGTTAAATTACATGCTACAGCTATTCATTTTTTTAAGTTCCCCTGCAAGAAAAGCCTGCATGAATTCCTGGAAGGTTCTTACTGGATTATGTGTAACCACAAAAAAAACCCCCAATGGGCTTCTGGGAACTGGCAGACTGTGCCATGACAAAAAAAAAGGCTGGACGCCTTGTCCGACCGAAACACATCTCACTCTGCATTCGGGCGCAAAGGGCAGAAGCCCACGGCTCCGGCTCCATCCTCTCCATCTCCTCCCACCCAGGTGGGTCCCCCTGCCGCCATGTCGCCGCCGTGCTCCCGTGGGGCCCTTCCTGGGGCCGTCCTCCTCCTCCTCCTCCTCCTCCTCCCGCTGCTCTGCGCAGCCCCCGGTGAGTGAGCACCTGGGTTGGGGTGTGGGGTGCGGGGAGGGAAAACCTAACCCAGCACCGTCCCGGGGAGCGGGCAAAAGCCTTCCCCTGGCGTCATGTGTGGCCTCATGGGTGAACGTTTTTGGTAACTCCAAAAGGCTGCAAGGAAAAAAAATCGTGAAGCAGTCTGGTTGTTAACGTGCCCCTCGCTCAGTGGCGAGGGTTTGCAAGGGTTATCATGCCGCCCTGGACACTGTGTCATGGCGCTGGCACCGGCTGTGGTCTTCTGCTGCAAAATATTATAATTTAATTGGCAAAGGATGCCAGTTGCGGCATTTCCTTGCCAAGAAGAGCTGGGGAGAGGATGCTGCAGTGTCAAAATCTTCCCTGTAGCATATGTTGTGCTCGAGTGTGGAAACGGGAGCAAAGGGAAGCACTGGTAGAAACTTGCTGCAGAGTTTTGCCTGGTGGTCTGGAGCTATGACAGAAGCACTTTCAGTGTTTTTCAAGATACAATCTTTTTTGTTGTTGTTATTTCCTTCTTAGTCAATGCACATGTTTTATTTTTACCTGTCTAGATGTTTCACGGGGAAATAAGCTTAAACTGATGCTTCAGAAACGCGAAGGTGAGTAAAGAGGCAGCAAGGTGCCCTCCCTTTATTTTCCCTTTGGATCAGTTGCCAGCGCTGGGAGCTGCCAATGTGTCGCCGCTCCAGCTCCAGCTCAAAGAGGGCGGCCAGAGGAGCGGTGGGCGAGCGCCCGGTTCAAAGCCAGTAGCGCAGAGCCGCTCTCGCTGCCTACCACGCCAAAATCTCCGGCACATACGGCGCCCCTGCGTCCACACAGCCGTTTGGGACTCGCTACTGGCAAGGCTGGAGGCTCTTGTTTATCGCGGCTCCAAAAACCAGGGTTCCCAGCCTCAGGCAGTACACTTGCGTTTTGCTCTGTGCAGTGTGCAAGCACCTACCTTTTCCAGTGCATGCATGGCAGGCGTGGCCTTTATCTGATTTATTCTGGGAAGTCACAAGCTTTTCCAAGGACTTGTAATGCATGGAAATGCCGCTGGCTCAGGTGCAGAGAAGAAAGTGTGCAAACCGGGCTTGCTCGCGATGCCTTGACTTGTTCCCTTTGTCCTCTTGGCCCCACATGCGCTTCCTTCTTGGAAGACTGCTCTCTCCACGGGAGAGACGGTGGCCAAGGGCCCGGCAGGCAGCTGCACGGAATGGCTCGCTGGTTGAGGGAAGGGGGTGGAAATGGAGCTGGCCGGGGACAAGCAGCACTGCAGCAGATGGGGGGCAGGCTGAAACACCCCAGAAGTTTTGGTTGCCTCCTCTCAGCCCACTCTGTGGCTGAGGCAAAGAATTTACACCCCCCCATGAGAGGGGACTCGCACTATTCTGCAAGCCTGCCTAACTTCTCACTGGGTTTTTCCTAGCATCACCCACCACCTCTTGCCAGCCCTAAAATGTGCGCCTCATCTGTGGCTGTTTTCTTGTGCTGGGGTTCCCCACCTTGCTGTTCTGCAGCGCTGGTGTGCAGATAGGAGCGACCACTTGTGACAGCCGCCCACCCTGCGCCCCAGTAGTGGTCGGCTCCGTTGCTCCGGACCCCCAGTCGCCCGCAGGGAGGCCTCTTGGGCGAGCAGGCAACACAGCCTAGGCCAGGAAGACCTGCAAAGCCTTGAACTGATGATGGAGGGAACATGCAGCCCCTTAATTCCAGCCTTGATCCCCTTTTCCAGTTGCATGCTAAGTACACAGTAGGGGTCCCTCATGCCAGGCTGGTTCAGGTGACACGGGCTTGGCCACCCTGCTTCCCAGCAGCTCTAGCCGATGGTGGCGCGCAACTGGGCTTCCGCCTTTGGC